CCCTCTTTTAAATGCATCATCTTTTCCTAGCCTCTACACTGCTGTTTTGGTTGAGACCCACTACCCTGAATTATTTTATAGGTTTCCCTAGTTTCTAGTTAACATTTTGCAATATACTCTTCATAACACTATCAGAATTATCTTTTAAAAACAATTATTTTAAAAATTCTAACAAGTACCCGTTTTTACCCTGAGAAAGCCCAAACTCCTTAGCATGTCATACTTCTTAAAGATGCTCACCACACCTTCCTAAGCTTTATAAGTTAGGCCTTGGCAATGCGAAGATGACTAAAATCTAGTCTTTGTTCTTAGGCTTGGACTGGTGGGTCTAACTCAGATGTCCTTCCTCTTACTATTTGTTGGTATATCTTACTTTCCCACCGCTCTGCAATGTATTATCATTGAGTAGTTCTGACCCCCCAAAACTGTTTAATGCAAACCTGAGTTGTCAGTTTAGTGTGTAATAGTGAACTATAGATTTTTGTGAAATGGATGAAGAGCTCAGAAAATGGTAATAACTGTGTAGTCCAGGAAGAATTTTAGCTAAATCGGTAAAGAAAGTAGATGTGAAACAAACGTCTTACGCCCTTTGAACGTCATCAGCCTCAAGTCTGTATATTAACTGTGGTTTTATGCTTTTTCCTAAGTAACCTAAAATTCAGGGTTTAGGTACAATCATGATTTTTGCCATGAAGCTGTGGTAAAACATGCATATTGGAATCCTTGTGGGGTGTGGAATTTAGACACTTTGATGTTGTGATTCTTAATGTGTTCACTAGGACTCGGCACCTTGAATACTGAATCTCACATTTCTGTGTACTCTGTTGCTCTACAGAAGGAACGGTTTCAGAAATCTCTTTTTATCTCCTTTGGAGTCTTCCTTGAGTAGTTTCAAGAGTTCTCCTGCCATTGCACCAGTCATTTAGAGATGAAGGCAAGACAAGTTTCCTCAAAACCGTCATGATCTGCTGTTCTTGCTGTCAGTTTCAGTATCAGAATGATGGACGACTTTCTTCCTTGTGGGATAATGCAGGGGTTGACAAACTGCTGCTGGCCACCTATTTTTGTAAGGCTCATGAGCTATATAGAATGATTTTTATATTTTTAAATGGTTGAAAAAATCAGAAGAGTAATATTTAATAACATGGAAATTGTATGAAATTCATATTTCAGTGTCCATAAAATTTTGTTTTGTTTTTTTAAACCCAGATCCACCCATTCATTTACCTTTTGTCTATGCTTTCATTTTACAAAGCAGACTTGCCTAGTGGTGACAGAGACCAGCAAGACCAAAAATATTTGCTATCTGCCCCTCTTCAGAAATGTTTGCTGACTCCCAATATAGTGCATGACAGGGTGGAAAGAAAAAAATAAACCTAAAACTGTGAGGAGTGCTTCCACAAAAACAAAGGTGGTGTTAAGAGTAGTCATTGGTGTGGGTGGAGAGTCATGGGAATTGTGCTGGTGACCCTAAGAAATGGTTGTGTGGCCCCAGATGTTGAATTAAGTATGGGGCTCTTTCCTGTATTTGCCTCTGGTTCCTGAATTTAGCAATAGCTTTTCTGTAACAAGGGCTCCCAGAGTTTGTAGGTTTGCAATGTGTATGAATCCCTTTCTCTTTTGAGTCATTTGTCTTCCCATCTATTCAAAAATATGCATTCAGGCCAGATATTAAGTAGTATTTTACTTAGTGCACAGTACTGTACTACCTGGAACGTTAGGTGTGTGAACAGTAAACATTTGTGTGTTTGATGGGGGAATATTTTGAAAGCAGTTCAACGGAGTCATTTCTAATTTACCAGGAACATGCTTGCTGTCACTTAGGTATGTTGGTCAGTTTTTTATAAATGAAACTCCCTCTTTTTTTCTATTCTTTTGAAACTTCCGACATATTAATAATTTGATTCTTTTATTTTTTTTAAAAAGATTTTATTTATTTGAGAGAAACAGCAAGCAAAAGTGGGGGGCAGAGGGTGAGGGAGAAGCAGACTCCCCGCTGAGCAGGGAGCCCAATGTGGGGCTTGATCCCAGGACCCTGAGATCATGACCTGAGCTGAAGGCAGATGCTTAACTGACTGAGCCACTCAGGCGCCCCTGATTCTTTTAATAGCTATGATTTTTTTTCTCAGAAGAACCCAATGGTCGTTACGAACCTTTTAAAACTTGATGGAAATGTTAGTCTAATGATTTTTTGGGGTAAAATAAAAGGCATTAGTCTGTGATGAATAGGTTTCTGATTTAATCCCTCTAAGCATCTATAGAAGTCTTTCACATTTTTGTGAATAAGAACTTTGACCTGAACAAGGGTGCTGTTAGGTAGATTGTTACTTATGTGAGCAACTATGTTCACAGATATGCCTAAGGATATATCCTTTAACATTTTTATTAGTGTGGTTACAAAAGTACAGAGTGCATGAAAAATATATTTGTGGTTAACAGTAGCTAGGAAGGAAGAATTAGTACTCAAAATGACATTAGTAGTCTGGAATGCTGTGTCCGAACCTAAAAATTAAAATTTAACAGAACATGAAAGCCTTGCCTTTAATTTTTTAAAACATTTTAAAAATTGGGGCACCTGGATGACTCAGTTGGTTAAGTGTGCAACTCTTGGTTTCTGCTCAGGTCGTGATCTCAGGGTGGTGCAATGGAGCATGGTGTAGCACCCTGTGCTCAGTGTGGAGTCTGCTTGGGATTCTCTCTCCCTCTCCCTCTGCCCCTTCCCTGTGCACTCTTTTCTCTTTCTCTCTCAAATAAGTCTTTAAAAACCAAACAAAAACCGTATTTTAAAAAGATCTAGGTGGTTTATTTACCAGCTCAATATGAAATATGAAAAACCTGTCAGGTTTTTTTTAAAGCAAATATTAGGTTGTATTGTACTAAATCAACAAAATAATAATGATGTAACCCTTTGATCTGATTATACTTGGGGGAGTTGCTTCAGATTTGGTTGACACATCTTATCAGCAGTTCTGATGAGCTGTAATAATGAGAAAGTGTTCAAAACCTTTATGGGGATGAGGAATAATTTAAATTGGAAAAAGGGGCACCTGGGTGACTCAGTCGGTTAAGCGTCTGCCTTTGGCTCAGGTCATGATCCCGGGGTCCTGGGTCCTGCCCCTCCCCCCATCCCACTTGTACTTTCTCTCTCCCTCTCTCTCAAATAAATAAAATCTTGAAAAAAAAAAATGGGACGAGGGAGTGGCAGTTAACAGATCCTTAGCTTCGGTCAATACCCGATAGATTGGTATTTGGAAGAGAAAGGTCTTTGTGTACTGCTCAGTAAAAGGCCCAGACTTAACAGCCCTTCACTTTAGGCTTGTAATGAAAATCTTATTAAAATAATATGCACCCAGACGGTCCAGCAATTGCACTACTGGGTGTTTACCCCAAAGATACAAATGTAGGGATCCGAAAGGGTACGTGCACCCCGATGTTTATAGCAGCAATGTCCACAATAGCCAAACTGTGGAAAGAGCCAAGATGTCCATCGACAGATGAATGGATAAA